AGAACACTTTGAAGAACTCACTGAAATGACCACAGATTACCCACGGAGACCTGGAAAGACGTCGCTCAGAACTGACCGAAATGGCGAAGAGAAGTGAAGACCGATGTCGCCATCTACGAAGCAAAGCGGATCGACATCGCCAAAACCAAAAGGGAGGCTTGCTTGTTGCGAGTTCCTCGACTACTCAATGCCAACAATCAGCCGTTTCCAACATGCCCGCGCTGCCAATTCGCATTCCGCGTGCGAATCGGTCTCATAGGACACAATGTGGCCCAATGTATCAGCAACCCGACAAAGTCAACATCTCCTCCCACGATAATAATAACGTACACCCCTGCCGCAAACCTCACGACGACGACCATTCCCATCACCGCAGATGACGCTGTCGCTGTCTTGCCGTCATCAACCACCGACTCCATCCGCCCTGCCCCACCCCTGTGTCGACCACAGCGACCAGCCCCACCACCACCTCCACCACCACATTCCGCAATCCTCCACCGATGCAACGATGTCCGACGTCCCATCGCCTTCTACCATCATCACCACCAACGACCCAACCTCCATCTGGGTAAAGAGCTCATGACATCGGAATTTTAAGGAAGTTTTCTCGAATCCATTGCAACTTACTGTGTCGCAGGCATGAGTCAGATCAACGAAGGGGTAAATAGGTTGGTCCAAATTTACTGACACGTTTCCGCAGCTGGCGATCCGCAAAGTTCACGCGTGTGGCCCTACGGTGTTTTCAGAAGGCGCACTTTGTTTCTGGAAGGCGTTCCTGCTTCAGATGCAAGCTCAGACGACTGAGTGGAGCACGGGCAAATAGTTTGCCTGTAATGTTGAGGACAGGGGTGTCTTTATGGTTATCACGAATTTGTGGCTACCCTTACGTTTGTAGATGTACGCGATCGCAGTATCCTTGAAGCCCTGGTGGATATGTCCATATCGGCATATCTAGAATAGCGAAATCAATTTAACTTGGGCTGTTGGCCGTAAAACCTGTCGACTTTGACCGGAATTGTGTCTGTACTCGATGATCTGCTGGAAGGAGGGAAGGCCGATGGTCAAGGTCTTCGTTAATGTCTATTACATGAAGTCGGCAGATGACTCCTTCGCATACTGTCGGCGAATAATAAAGGATGCCCTGGAAGTGTGCGGTCCAACCTTCGACGACCTGTGAATCCTCCGTCAAGAGGGTTGCTCCTTCCTTGATGAGCAGTGGCGAGGACACCTTGGCTTGCAGATCATAGAATGCATTGATAGAAGCGAATCAATTCTGGTCCTCACGACGTCCTCGAGTGAGAATTGTGCTTTAAAGACATGTCTCGATGGCAACTCTTGCCTCCTTCTCGTAGATACTCAAAGAAACTATGCATGAATTTCGCTTCGAATTCTTCACGCGTCCAACGAGAGCCTGCGGATAGCTGCTGGGTCTGAAGAGTTTCCCGAAAAGCTCTATCTCGCCCCGTTTGGTGTCCTCCTGACGGCACTTTTCTACGGAGCGGAAACCTGAACCGTCCACTACAACCATGCCACTAAACTCGACCACTTCCATCTTAGTCATCTTCGTTGATTACTAAAGCTGAGATGGCAAGACAAGATTCCCGGCACGAACTTCCTAGAACGGACCGGAATCCTCAGCATTCACACCATGTTGGGGCAACTGCATCTACGTTGGAGCGGCCATCCCATGAGGATGGAAGATACACGTTTTCCAAAACAACTCTTCTATGGTGATGTCGCCATTGTTACAAAGACGGCCTTACAAGGACACTTTGAAGAACTCTCTGAAATGGCCGTAGATCAACCTCGGGAACCTGGGAGGACCTCGATCAGAACTGACCGAAATGGCGAAGAGAAGTGAGGGTCGAGTTCGTTATCTATGAAGCAAAGCGGATCGTCGTCGTTAAAACCAAAATGGAGGCTCGCTTGTTGCAAGTGCCTCAACTCCTCAATGCCACCAGTCGGCCGTTTTAAGCGAAGATGCTAGGTCCGGCAACCAGTTGATCAGAAGAAGAAACGATCGCTGGAACAAGGGCTTTATTCGCCTGACGTTTCGGATTCTCACTTAAACGCATTTTTCAGAGAAAATGGCAGAAAAGAGTGACTTGTGCACAGGAACTTGCAGTATTTATAGGATGCAGTCGCTATGCTACCGCATACCTATAGCAATTATCCGCGCTCCCCTTCATCAAGGATTGTTGCCCGCTGGTGCGTTAATTGCTTGATGGCCGGCATGCAAGTTGTTAATTGTCGAAACGCAATCACCCGTTTTGGATGCTGGCGTGATCATTGCTCGGCCATCTGGCACACCGGCCTGCGCGCTCCCCGAGTGGTCAATTACCTTGGCTAGCCTATGCCTCAGCACGGAATATGGAGTGAGGATGTCGTTGCACTTGTTGATAGACTGAGGTCCCGTGAACCTTGACTCAAGTAACTCGCGGCTCACTCGATTATTTTCTCTCGCGAGAATTTCGGTCTCATCGAACTTGAATGTGTGGCCGGGTCTCGTCGAATTGGCCGCCATCTGAGAGTTGGCGTCATTTGTCCGCACCAATGCCGCGTGTTCGGCAATTCGCGTCCGGAGCAGTCTTCCAGATTCTCGGACGTAGTTGCTTTGTCCACAACTGCACCAGATCCGGTAAACGACTCCAGATGTTTCTTGCTATTGCAGTGGGTCGTTTAGTCTCATCACCTGACGCCTTATGGTGGCCTCCGGTCTGTGTGCAACTCCAACTCCAAGTGGTGCGAGAAGGCGACTAACGGCCTCAGAGACGTTCTTGATGTACGGGATCGCTCGCCAGAAATTTGGTTTGGCACGGTTTTGGCGCTCGTCTCGTTTGCGCATGCAGCGGTTGACGAGGTTGCCCGGGTAACCATTTTATCTGAAAACCCGTCGAAGATATTGGGATTCGGCAACCTTGTCTTCCGGTTCACTGCAGTGCGTCTCAACACGCCGATATAGCGTCCTTACGCAACTGCGTTTGTGGCTGATTGGGTGGTTACTGTTGAAGTTCAGTATTTGCGTCGTGTTCGTCGCTTTTCTGAACACTCTGGTCTTTAGGCCACCACAATATTTGCGACAGACGAGGACATCAATGAATGCCAGCTGGTTATTTTCTTACTCCTCCATCGTAAATTGTATGTCCGGGAAGAGGCTGTTGAGACGTTCTTTGAACGTTTGCACTTGATCCCGTTCGATGACGACGAAGGTATCGTCCACATACCGAGTCCGGAATTTCGGTCTGTGGTGTTGGACGACCAGCGACTCCAATAGCTGTAGGACCGCCTCGACGATGAATCCCGAGATCGGCGAGCCCAGTGGTGTTCCATTCACCTGCTCGTAGATTGGTCCGTCCAACGTGAAGTACGTCCTGAGACAGAACTTTAGGAGCCGAAGGATTTGGGCATGTCCGAGACGATTCTCCGTTCCATTGTATTTGTTCCGTAGTAGTAGCTCGACGGCCTCGATTGACAGATCCTGTGGGATAGAAGTAAAGAGGGGCGTGACATCAAAAGATACCATGACCTCATTTGGCAAGAGACTTACTCCATTAAGCTTCTCCGGGATTTATGTTGACGAACAGACGGTAGTGTCCGAATCAGCGGTCAGAAATTTGAGGCGCCGAAACAGTCATTTCGCTAGTCCGTACGTTGAAGTGCCTTTGAGCGATACAATGAGCCGGAGAGGAGCGTCCTCCTTGTGCACCTTGGGGAGACCATAGAATCGGGCCAGGGCCGTTTCTTGGGCTCTCGCATGCGTCGGTCGGTCGATGTCATTGCACCCGAGTTCTCTAGTGCCAACAGTGTCGCTTTAATTTCGCGTGTCAGCGTCTTTACGGGGTTGGTTTCACATGGGACATAAAACTGGCAATCCTCCAGTAGGTCTTTGGCCTTCTGAAGGTAGTCTGTTTTGCCCAGTACGACGGTGGAACGGCCGTTATCCGCGGGCACAATGACGATGTCCATGTCGGCCTTGAGTTCTCTTAGTGCATCGCGTTCGACCTTTGGGAATATTTCCCGCGGTTTGTGGGTCATAAGGCGGGACGACACTTGGTGTCGAATTAGGTTCTTTGTCTCCTCCGCCGCTTCCGTCTGATTAATGACCGATCCCACAGCTGCAATAATGTTGACAGGTTTGGCGTCAGCTGTGTTGAATGAGGCTTCGTGCCGTAAAATCTGTACTTGCTCCTTTGTCAGTTCCTTTGACGATAGGCTGTGTAGCAGTGTGCCGCCTCAGGATGACGTCGGATCAGGCAGTTTGTGGAATTTGTTCCCCAGTGCTGCATCGCGTGTCGCTCTCAGCACACGGGCTTGTTCAGTCATCTTCTGCTAAAGCAGATTGTCATCAAACCTGTCCTGGTGGAGACAGCGTGCGGAGCCAAACATTGCCAGTGCGGTGGCCTGTATGGCGTATGTCACTGGGACTTTATGAGCCTCCAGTGTTTACATTTCCCCCCGTTCGACGTTCATACAGTTACTGATGTCCCAATGGCGTTAAGTCAGATAAATTAACACAGTATTCAAACTTCATGACGTAAATTTACCCTGCGGTTGAAGCTTCCCCTTGAAGATGTCAATAAGGGGATTCGTCCAGGAGCCAATGCTGCACATTGCCTTAGTCACGAGCACATCACGCTGGTCACACTTCCGAACTAGGATGTATTCCAGCAGATGCCGGTAACGCCAGCGAGCGTGGATCCACATGGTCTCACTGCGCCTCGGAGGACGGGAGAATGTGCTGGTCAGGAGTGGATTGTGTTCCGCTCAGGCCTGCTGGAGGAGAAGGTCGTTGCTGTTGCAGTTGCCGATCCCACAGCAACTGGGTGCTAACGCGGACACTGAGTTCACCAACGACAGCCAGTTTACCCCTTCTCAGCCCAATTTCAAGGAGGGTGTTCAGAACTTTGTAGAACCTGTTCTCCGCGTCATCGGAATTAGTCATTGGATGGCACAGGCTCTGACGAGGATGGTGGCAATTGGGTCCTTTCAGAGTGGCAGACGTGTGTTCCGAGACGGCCCCTGACTTCTTGTGACAGACAGGAGACCGTCTGACAACGTCAAGGACGTCTACTGCTTATCATCTGCCCAACAAAAGTGCGTATCCCCCCAAATCCCCAAACTGGCACTGTTCAGAGAAGCCGCTCCCACCAACGGTCCCACTGCCCACTTTGTGTCCGACCGATTTGAGAACGACCAAGAAGGAGACGAACATTGTAGACTATCCGGATTGAGCTCTGTCACGCTGGAAGCCTGTAACGAGACATGGGGGTGGAGACAGGAGTCGTTTTTTTCTGGTAGCTTTTGCGTCCACAGACAGGGACTAGCGTGCTGAGGGCGTACTTTAGTGGCAACTTTTGCGGCGCCTTTTGGTTCTTGCAGTATTCACCACAATTTAATCACATCCAGGCTTAACCATAAAGGTAAGCCTAAAATACCGTGCCTACCAAATTAAAATAAACAGGCATGTTACCCCAACAAAAGCATGGGCCTAAATACTCTATCCTCGTCAACATCTTTCATAGGGACGGAGCAGAAGGGAGTTTATGGATAATTTCGAGAGCTACCGGGTGTTAATACACGCGCATTCAAGTTATTCTTATCTTGTTTACCTCGTTGGTTCCCAAATGGTGGCGCTCTGCTGGGTACGGTTTCGTGAAGCCTCACATGAGAGCTGGATGCCGGTAGGGGTCGAGGTATACGCAGACATCAGACCGTCGATGTGCTCGGAAGAGGCTGCTTGCAGATACCTATTATCACCCTAATCGCGCTTATGCTATATCATCGTGCATGGTATTTGCGGACACCATATCTGAGACATAGTGTATCCGTCAATTCAATGGCATGAAATGTTCATCCGGACGCATCCACAAAAGTGGAGTGACCGTACAAATACACCGTGGGTTCCTGCACACGGCACCCTCTGAGTCGAAGTTTTTTTGTGCTCTTTCTGAAAGACGCGAATTCAGAGGTCAGAGTTCTGGTTTGAGTAGCATATTTTCTGGTTATGATTCAGGACACTCAGTTTTTCAAGTCCGCCCGCAAACCCGCATTTATTATTACGATAAATGTATGTGTCATGTGATACGCCTCCTACTGCAGATTACTAACAACACGCCGTACTTGACTAGAAGGTGTGATCACTAAAGAAAATGCCTCCGACTGAATTCTATTTGCCAGTGCATTTCTTGAAAACAGCATGAGTTAAGGCCATGTCTGACTAGAAAGCATGTCTGAGAAATCCACATACGTAGTAGTTTGTCCTCCGCCACTCTCTTGACCTGTCTGGTAGGTCGGCTGAATATGTGATGGGCACTACAACAGCTAGAGCGCAAGTTGGTGCCAGTTGATCTAGTTCGAGGTTTTGTTCAGCCGAACAAGTTTCGTGGCTACTCAACTCGTCTGCTGAATTAACAAAAGGTGCGATTATAATCAGCACAAACCTATTTTCACTAGTTGACGACCCTACTCTCCGCACATCGCACTGCATTGATGTGTGTTGGGAAATGTACAAGAATTCGAAAGAGATTTGACTCCATGAAACAAATCACGAAATGCATATGGCGCGAACTGATTTTCTGATTTGATGTTGAACTGACGTACCTTTGTTTTGTTTTAAAAATCATTTGTCTAGGGGGTATTTAGAACTAAATAAAGGGTCCTTACTGAAAGATTTCTGAAAACACCCATTATTTGACAAATGTGGGCAACAAGAAAGTCGGTTTTTGGCTTCCGGATAGACCTAACCTTTTCCTTAGGGAGCAAAATCATGAAAAAGAAAGTCAAACACCAAAAGCTAGCCTACGTCATCAACTTTCTTGTCCTGCACGTGTACGCACCTGCAGCATAAGGAGGGGATGGTGTTTTACGCCAGATTTTTAACAACAACACTGCACCAGGACAACGGTAAAGCTAACCTCGTTGTGACCAATCTGACACAGGAATCAATTTACTATGCTTTATTCGACAAATTTGGTCAAGAAGGTGCATTTGAGAAACGAAAACTATGCAAGAACAGACAACAGCGATCGATAGAAACTTTGCAATGAAGTATTCCTGGTTCTTAGGTTAAAAGACCAAACCCTTATTGACAATCGTTCAATGTACAATCTGGCAGTTGTCGAATCCATCTTCTGCGGGCTTGGACCAACCAACTATCGAATTCCCCTTTGACCGAGCAATGCAGGTGAACGTTATCTGCTCGAAAAATTGGATGCACATTGACAGCAGAGGTGACCGAACCACCTTTTGAGCAGAATGATGCCCCTACGTTTGGGCGGGAAGTTGGAGTTCAGTGTCGCGAGGAACGAAGTCCACCGTATGACGCGTGCCTTGGACTCAGCACTGGTGACCTACGAGTGAGTCCGTTTATAAGAGAGCAGACTTGTGAAGCATCTACTTCACTCACTAAACTCTCACCCGCAATCCACTGATGGCAAGACAATGTCAGGACGACCGAAGGTGGAGTCGGCTGCAGTGGCTGACAAAGCCGAAAAGCTTGTCCACATGTGCCACACACGACCTGGTCACCGCAAAATGTGTCACAGTTTTATAGAATAGGTGACAGCTCAGATCTCACGTTCGCTAGAATGCCATGAAGGCCATATTCAGATGGAACCACTGGGCCTGAATCTTGGTTTTCGATTCAGTCACATTGTAGATACGCGCGCACACACACAGACACGACAATTTAACCGTCGATTTCGACGATGTCCTCCGTATGCTCAACAGAAGCGTGAGCGCAGGAATGAAGTCCTATGTTCCTCAGAGTGTCTTCTGGTATATAGACTCCAGTTTCACCCTGCCTTGTTTGATTTCCGAGGAAATTAGTGCGCGAATTTGAGTTAAATCTTTTAAAGTAAATTCGGGCACGTTCGCAAAGTTGCTATTAATATTTGAGCTGAAATTGTCCACGGTCTGCAATTCAGTGCAGTGGATGCGAGGGACACTGTATGGAGCGTTCGGTGACGATTGGTGCATTAACGCCGTTTTGTCCGTGATGACGGCCAGTTCGAAATAGGTAAACCCGACCACGAAGAGGTCCATGCCCCGTTGCATGTCAGCCTCTGACACGATGCTAGGCACGCACTCATCCGCGGATGTCAGATAGAGGACAAGAGTAGTGGAGAGACAGGTTGTGGCTTGCATGCATCAGTCGTTGAGTAGATGCCTGTCGGCCCTGTAGACGATGCGGATGAATACGGACAATGCGTACGATGCAGACGATGAGTACGCAGCTCTGCTTCACTCCATCGGAGTTTGTTCTGTTGTCCGTGACGCGCGCCATCATTCCGTCGAAGAATTGATGCATCATGTACGTAAGTCGCCCGGGGCGGACAAATTTCTGCATGATTTTCCGCAGATCATCGGAATTCACCATGTCAGATGCCCCTGTTAAGTCCACAAGAGTACTGTAGAGGTGGGTCCGCATTTGCAGGCCAGTCTTTTGTAGCTTGTGTGCGGCGAAGATCATGTCAGTGGTTACGCGGCGGCGTTGGAATCCGCACTAACATTCCGACAGTTGTCCTTGTACGACATGTCTGTTGAGACGGTTAAGGACGATGCGAACGAAGATTTTCTGGATATGTTAGGCGGTAAAATGTCTCTTCGTTTATCACGGAGTTGCCGGAACTCCTTCCGTTTGTAGATGTGGACAGTTATCATATCCTTGGAATCTTGATGAACTTTTCCTTGGTAACACCTCTATTGGAATGATGTTGTGAGTTGACCCATCTGCCGGGGTCGATGTGCTTGTAAACTTTGGCCGAAATCGTGTCAGATCCCGATGCTTTCAAGCTGAAGTCGAGCGATCTAGGTCGACACTCGTTTTCAATTTGGGTAGTCAGTCACTGGTGGCATCGGGAGTCGTGGAAGGACAAATGAGGACGCCTCTGAAGTGCTCGGTCCAGCGCTTCAGAGCCTATGACTTGTCTCTCAGAATTGCTATTCAACGGAGTTGGCAAACGATGCGGTTCCTTCGGTTGGGGGTGGGGAGGTAGATCGCTTTAAGTGATGCAAGGAAATTCCCAAGTTTATTGTGGCCGGTATATCTTTGGATTTCCTCGGCCTTGTGGACAATCAAGACGTCTTGCATCTCTCTGAGTAGCTGCTGTACGATAGCGGAAGAAGGCCTCCTTGTTTGCGGTGGTCCGATGGTTCATGTAGGCTTTGTGCAACCTGTGCCTTTCAGCGAGCAATTAGCTGATGTTAGCATCGCCGTCGAACCAGTCCTGATGTTGGCGACGTGGGCGACTGAAGATATCCAAGTCCGCGGTTGATATCGTCGAGTCACCACGGAGGCGTTTTCATCGAGAGTTTGCAGGTTGTTGGGTAGGTTGAATGCTGTAATAGCGACGACGAGGTGGCAAGTTAAACAGAACGATGTATAGCTTTCCTGGTGGTCGCTTGCAATCTCGTCTCCTGTGGAGTTAAAAATGGAATCCCATCTCGGAGATTACGAGGCGACGGTTTGTCCAACTGTCGTGGTCGTAGCTAGTCTTAGACTGCCCTGCCGATTCAGCCTCCAGTCTAGAAGGTAATCCAGCAGATGTCAGCGTCGCGATCGTGAATGCATCGGGGTCGCCATCTTCCGCATCAGGGGACGGAAGAAATCCTTTGTCAGAAGAAGGTCTTGTTGTGCGCAAGTTCGCAGAAGAAGTAGGACGATGTCGTTGCGGCCGGTGATTTCGTGGGACCCGGCAATCCAC